TTTTATTTGCTTATTTATTATCCTTTTACTTACTTATTTATTATCTTTTTACTTATTTATTATGCTTTTATTTGTTATTTATTATCTTGTTATTTATTATCCTTTTATTTATTTATTATCTTTTTATTTATTTAGTTGTTATCTTTTTATTTATTTATTATCCTTTTATTTATTATTTATTAACTTTTTATTTATTTATTTGTTATCTCTTGTTTGTCTCTTTATTTGCCTCTTTAGTTTTCTCGTAATTTCTACTTTATCTTTTTTGTCTTTTTATTTCCTTTTACTCATTTGTTTTTATTTAGTTTTATTCATTTACTTTTTGTTTTTATTTATTTTTTGTTTTTATCTATTTTTATTTGTTTTTATTTGTTTTTATTTGCTTTTATTTGTTTTTAGTTGTTTTTATATGTTTAATTTGTTCTAATTTGTTTTGTTTTATTTGTTTTTATTTATTTTTATTTTATCTGCTTCAATTTCTTTTAATTTCTTTTAGTTTGTTTTAATTTTTAATTTCTTGTTATTTCCTTTTATTTGTTTGTATTTCTTTTATTTCTTTTTATTTTTGTTTATTTCCTTTTCATTTCTTTTAATTTCCTTTAATTTCTTTTAATTTCTTTATTTCCTTTTATTTCTTTTAATTTCTTTTAATTTTTATTTTCTTTCCCCTTTTTCGTGTGTTTGTTGGCTTATTTCATCTCTCTTAATTTCTTTTTATTTTTAAATTTATTTCTAATTTGTTTTTTATTCCTTTTAATTCCTTTTAGTATCTGGTAATTTCTCCTAATTTCTTTTTATTTGTTTTAATTCATTTTAGTTCATTTTAATTCATTTTTATTCATTTTGATCCATTTAAATTATTTAAATTCATTTTGATTCATTTTGAATTTTATTTAAATTTATTTAAATTCATTTTAATTTAATTCATTTTAATTTAATTCATTTTAATTTATTTTAATCCATTTTAAATCATTTAAACCTATTTAAACACATTTTAACTTAATTAATTCATTTTAATTCATTTTAATTTAATTTAATTCATTTTAATTCAGTTTAATTTAAATAATTTTAGTTAAGTTTATTCGATTTAAACTTATTTAATTCGTTTTAAATGACCTCTGCATCCTCCCGCATTCAGTCTTTTATCTCTTTTTATTTTATTTTATTTTACTTTTTATTTTTTTTTAATTTTTAATTTATTATTTTTTTTTCCTTTTTTCAGCAGAATATATCTCCTTTTTTGCTGCTTCTCGCGGCGCTGCAAGTGTCTCCTTCTGTCTCCTTAATTCCCTTCGAATGTGCCCTCAAAGAGTTCTTTTTTAATTCTTTTTTTTTATTTTTTTTATTTTTTTATTTATTTTTAGAAAAAGCTGCCATTCCTCAGTACCCCCTCGAGAGCAGCCGCATCCGCTGCTGGGTGGCCCACGTGGGGGTCGGCGGATTTCACCGAAGTCACCAGTGTCTTTTTTTTGATGATCTTTTGAACAAAACAAATGCCGGACTTCTCGGTAATTTGCTGCTTTTGCTGCAGCAGCAGCAGCGGCAGCAGCTGCAGCAGCAGCAGCAAAGCCTGCAGCGCCAAACGCCGAGCCGGCAGCACCAAAAGCCGCCGCAACAGCAGCCGTAGCAGTTGCAGCAGCAGCAGCAGCAAGGGGGCAGCAGCAGCACAAGCAGCAGCAAGAGCGGCACCAGCTGCAGCTGCTGCTGCTGCCGCCTCTGCTGCTACTGCTGCCGTTGCTACTTTGCTACTGCCGCTGCTGCTGCTGCTACTGCTGCTGCTTTGCTGCTGCCCATCGCTCTGCCGCTGCTGCTGCTGCTGCTGCTGCTCGTGCTCTGCTGCTGCCACTGCTGCTGCTCCGCTGCTGCCCGCTGCTTCTCCGCTGCTACTACCGCTACTACTGCCACTCCAACCACCGCCGCCGCCGCTGCTGCTGCTGCTGCTGCTGCTGCTGCTGCTGCTGCTGCTGCTGCTGCTGCTGCTGCAGACGACTTGCCGGAGGGCGTTCACCGGGGCCCGTGGGCCATTTGCGGGATCGGTCTTCTCCCGGGCGACAAAAGAATGCTCGAAGTCCTCCGCGAACAAGAGTTCCTCTACACCGTGAGCCCCCACAGCTAGCTAGCTAGCTAGCTAGCTAGCTAGCTACACAGCTAGCTAGCTACGTACACAGCTAGCTAACTAGCCATGCAGCTAGCTAGCTAGCCATTCAGCTAGCTAGCTAGCCATTCAGCTAGCTAGCTAGCTACACAGCTAGCTAGCTAGCTATACAGCTAGCTAGCCAGCTATGCAGCTAGCTAGACAGACAGACGGCCAGATAGATAGCTAGCTAGCTAGCTAGCCAGCTATACAGCCAGCTAGAAAGCTAGCTGGCTAGCTAGACAGACAGACAGCTAGCCAACTGTCCAGCTAGCTGGCTGGCTGGCTAGCTAGAGAGCCAGATAGGTTGCTAGCCAGGCAGCTAGCCAACTAGCTGGCCAAGTAACTAACGAGCTAGCTAGCTGGTGCTGCTGCCGCTTCTGCTGCTGCTGCTGCCCCTTTCCCTCATGCTTCTGGCTGCCGTCCTGCCGACCTCCGCCCCTGCTGCTGCTGCTGCTGCTGCTGCTGCTGCTGCTGCTGCTGCTGCAGGTGCTGACTCGGAGCCAGCTGTGCTGCGAGGCGCGGGTGGTGGGGTCTCTGATGGACTTCATTTTTGCTGCTGAGGAGCCGCAGCGGCTGCAGGGCCTTTTGGGGGACTTCAAAACAAAAGTTTTGTCTTTAACAATTACAGAAAAAGGATATTGCATCAACACCAAAGGAAACTTGGACAAAAGCAACCCGCAGGTCCTCCGGGACTTGGCTGCTGCCAAGCGCCACCTCCCCCTCAAACAGGCAAGCAGCAGCAGCAGCAGCAGCAGCAGCAGCGAGGCAGCAGCAGCAGCAGCAGCAGTGGCAGCGGCGGCAGAGGCGAGGCAGCAGGGGCTGGGGCAGCAGCAGTTCAAGTAGCCGCTGCAGCAGCAGCAGACACTGCAGCAGCAGCGAAGCAGCAGCAGCAGACACTGCACTAGCAGCAGCAGCAGCAGCAGCAGCAGCAGCAAGACAGAAGCAAACGCCGAAATTAACTCCCCTCTGCTGCCGCTGCTTCTGCTGCTGCCGCTGCT